TCAGACCCTCAAGCACACTCAGGCCCTCACTCACTCAGGCCCTCACATACTCAGGCCCTCACTCCCACTCAGGCCCTTACTCACTCAGGCCCTCACACACTCAGATCCTCACTCACTCAGGACATCACTCACTCAGACCTTCACTCACACTCAGGCCCTCACTCACTCAGATCCTCACTCACTCAGGACATCACTCACTCAGACCCTCATACACTCAGGCCCTCACACACTCAGATCCTCACTCACTCAGAACATCACTCATTCAGACCCTTACTCACACTCAGGCCCTCACACACACAGGCCCTCACTCACACTCAGGCCCTCACACACACAGGCCCTCACTCACACTCAGGCCCTCATTCACACTCAGGTCCTCACTCACTCAGGCCTTCCTCCGATGCCCACACCTTGTGGCCATGATGGAGTTCAATTTAATGAGCTGGTCCATTCTCAGTATCCAGGGCAGATCCAGTTCAGAAACAACAGACTCCACAGAAAAGGCAGGTAAAGATGAAGGACACTCATCTCCCCCAACGTTCAGCTTTATTTCCTTGGTTTTCCTTTGGTAAGCTGGGAAAAGTACAGGCATACCACCTAAAAGCAGTCGCCACAACCATCAAAGCCTCTACCACAACCTAGGCCAAGGACGTGTCTTAGGGTTACAAGCTAGGAGATAAGCCTGTCCCTGTCACCTTCCCATAGGAGAGAGGCTGTCCTGGCTCCAACAGCTCAACTTTAGGGCTACAAGTTATTTCAACCGAACTTAGGCCGTTGTTTAATTCTAAGTGTAGTCTACAAAAGACATCAAGACTCACTACCAGAAGCGACTTCAAATTAGATACATTAGGTGTGAACCTTGATTTGAGGAGATGGGCCTCTCCCTCGGACCCTCCCCTCCCATCCCGTGTGTATGTGTGTGTGTGTGTGTGTGTTAATAGGAATGTCTAACCTGAGGTCCATGGGTCAAGACGATGCAAGAATAAAAATCTTTCCTAATAGCATCACTTTCCTGTCTAATTCCATACACCCTTATTTTAGGTATTTAAAAAGAGTATTAAAAACAAACAAGATTTTGATAAGATGTCTATCAGCTTCAACAGACGACTAAAGGGGGTCTATGGCATAGTGAAAATAAAGAACACTTTATGTGGAACCATAAGGCAACATAAGTAACCCCAAAGCCTCCATAAACTGGGGGTACCCATGTGCTGGTTTCACTGGCTCTGGGAAGCAGCCAGTTGCCCAGACCATGTACAAGAGACGTGTATGAGAACTGACTCTCTGCTTCAAAACTCAGGACTGCTCAGCCAGGGTGTTTGGGATAGCTCACATGCAAGTTAGGGATGGGACAAGGGGGATCATGCTTTGGGGTTTCTGAAAGACCCACCACCCCCACCAAAGGCTCTGGCCACTAGAAACCACAGTGGCATGGGACTGATTTTCACCTTCTCATAATACTGGATATTCTTGTCAGCCAAGCCCACGAGCAGCTGCCGGAAGTCATGTCGCTTGTTGCTCTGCCACCTCTCCATATCAGCCTTAAGGTCAGCATTGAAGCACTCCATCCTGTCCTGGCACTTCTCCACATCTGTGGGCACCTGCAGTGGAAATATATTCATGGCTTTAAGTACAGTTGGTTTCTCCTACTGTGAATTACTCTTCAAACATTTGTAGGGAGCCAAAGTGCTAAATTAAAATGTCCCTGGAAAACAGAGGCTTGGAAGTGTTTGCAAAATGCAAACACCATCCCATCCATTAACAGAGCAGAGAGAGACACACGGGAAACCACTCCTCTGTCTCCATCTGCAAATGGGAAAGAAAATCCCTGCAATCAAGAAGAGGCCTGGGATCCTGTTAGGATTTACTCTTCCATGCTGACAAACGGGGCAGACTCTGCACATACAGCAGCAGTTCTGCGTACAGTCCTGCATCGTTCTGGGGTTTCTTGGGTCACGGGAACCAGTCCAATATTTGTGATGTCTGATGATGCCTTTCCTCACGTATTTGGTGAACTGTAAAAATGAAACTACCAGCCAGCTCCCTCCTCTAAACTCCACACCATAAATAAACTGGGTACTGCTTCACTTTAGGTGGCAGAGAATCAGAAAGTCCAAGAATGGAAGGAAAATCGTTGATGGTATCAAAAGAATTTGAACCATAACCACAGCAGGTGGCTTCAAGTATCCCTTAAAGTTTAGGAAGACTTTCTCCAAAGGAAGTGTGTCCCCTGCATTTCGTGACCTTCACTTTACTGCGGTGAGTTGCTTTTTATCCTACAGGATTTGCGAGAGCCTCCTGGTCATGGTGGTTTTCCAAAATTAGATTTTTCAGTTTTATCTCAAGTTCTGCATTGGGCCCATATAGTGGTCAGGGCTTAACATGCCTAAGCTAGGTCAACACTTACCAGAAACAAATGAGACTTTCAAGGTTTTAAGTCCACAGACCAACGAGCACAAATGTCCCCAAGAGAGCCAGTTTCTATCAACCAGAAATGGAGACATGGCAAGGACAGGGCTGCCCAGCTGTGTGGATGCAGGGAGGTGACACTGTACCTCTGTGATGACTAACTGGTGAGTAACACCCAGTGTTCCCTATCGTTAGTCATGCTCCTTGTGTCTGACAGACATCGGGATGGCAACATCCAAGGAAAACAGTTGGATGTTTTCTATCATAAGATACGAACGACTGGAGGTTGAGTTACCTGCTAAGGCCCCAGATGGCAAAAATGTCTGAATCAAGGGTAAGCTGTTGTTCCCATAATGGCTCCTCCATGTCTGGTAAGAAAGTCTTTCAGAGAAGGCTCAGGTGTGATAATCTGTATTGTACTAATTGTTCAGGGCTCTAACACTGTATGTTTTTGTGTGCTGCAGTATAGGGTGGTAGCCTAAATCCATTTGAAATCCATTTAAAGCACATATTCTTGAGCTCTTTCTGTGGGTAGGGTATTTCCAGGCCCTAAAATATAAATCTCTACCTGTCTCCTTTGAAGCAAGGCCAGAGAGCCACAGGATTTGCTCCTCCACCACTGACTAGTAAGATTTCCCAGGAATGTAAGACAGACAAAAATCCCCTGAGGGAAAGAGGTGCTCATGGCTTCAATGACAGAACCAGCTACTCTCACATATGACACAGCGGTTCCTCAGCCAGATACACTGAGGAGAGCAGTTTCCTTCCTCGTAGCTGTGAATGGCAACACATTGATCTGCACAGTCTACAGAAGCCAGAACCCTAGGCAACGCATCTCCAACATCAAGCCTGTGTGTGGTGCACAGAGGTTGTATGTGACAGTGTAAAAACACAAACTCCCAGATAGTGGTGAGAAGAGACAACTGAGTGCCTTAGGAGAATCAAGAGCACATTCATAGAGATGGCAGGCAGAGCAAAACCTAGAGTTGCTCATTTCCTAGATGTCTGTTTACATGCTGATGGTGTACGGAAGAGACAGGAAGTGGGAGCTTAGGACGCAATGAAATGTGTCTAAAACATGATGGCTCTAAAAAGGCAAAAGACTGGAGGGGAGCAGAGCTGGGGAGATCTGTGAGTAAGCACTGCAAGCATGAGGACCTAAGTTTGAATCCTTGACATCCACATAAAAGCCACACCTGAGCAAGGTGGCCCTAGGTTGTATAAGAAAGTTAATTGAGCAAGTCATAGAAAGTAGGTCAGTAAGCAGCATTCCTCTATGGTTTCTGCTTCACATCCTGCCTCCTGGTTTATGACTTGGCTTCCTCCAATGCACTGTGCCCAGGGAAATCTATATGTGAGTCTGAGTGTGTGTGAATGTGTGTATGTATGAAAGTGTGTGCTTGCACTCCAGATAAACTCTCTCCTCCTCAGTTGCGTTTGGCTATGGTCTTTATCACAACAATAAAAAGTAAACACACAAAAAGTGACTTCTGTTGATTTTTTTTTAAAAAAATACTTAATTGGCAGAGATTATGTCAATCAAATCATACTTCTTCAATAGACAAAATCTCTGCAATTAATATAAATGGGTTAATTTAAGTTATAAGAGCTAGTTATGAACAAGTCTAAGCTATAGGCTGAGCTTTCATAATTATTAAGAATTCTCCATGTCCGTGAGCAAAGAAGGCAAGACCAGAGGGAACCTTCATCTGATGATGGATGGCGATACAGACGGAGACCCACATTGGAGCACCGGACTGAGCCCCCCAAGGTCCAAATGAGGAGCAAAAGGAGGAAGAACATGAAAAAGGAAATAAGGACTGCGAGGGATGCTATCACCCACTGATACAAGGGGACGGATCTAATGAGAGTTCACCAAGGCCAGTTGGACTGGGACTGAACGAGCATGTGATCCAACCAGATTCTCTAAATGTGGCCGGATTCTCTGAATGTGGCTGGCCTGGAGTCTTTCTGAAAAGCCATTGACAATGACACTGGGACTTGTTTCCTCTGCATATACTGGATTTTTGGGATCCAGTCTGTCTGGATACTCACCTTCCTGGACCTGGAGGGAGGAGGGAGGAACTTGAACTTCCCTCAGGGCAGGAAACCCTGACTACTCTTAGGGATGGAGAGGGAGGAGGAGAGGGAAGGGGGAGTGGGAGGGTGTTGGGAGGTGGGGCGGAAATGGAAACTTTTATAATTTAATAAACTTTGGAAAAAAAAAGAATTCTCCATGTCATTATTTGGGAGCTAGCTAGTGGGAGAGAAAAAGACTTGTTATATATGGTGTCCAACATGGGGGCTTGAATATTCACATATAGGACCTGAGAAAGCTTTTTAAAAAGATTCCAAGTCCACAAACACAGAGTCAGACATGGCTTCTTAGCCCTGCAGTCTCTCAGGATGGCCAATGTATACAGAGACGCAGTTCTTGGTCACTGCCGGCCGGCTTAAGTCAGCCAGCACCACGTGAGGAGCTGCATGTTGGGTTTAAAGCTTGGCTCACAGGGTCAGAGAAGGCTGCAGGCATGTAGTGAAGTGGTTGAGACCAAGGAAAACTTTAAACAGATACAGTAAAAAATAGGTATGGTCATAGGAAAAAATAGTTTAAAAATAGTAAAGTCTTTAAAGAGAGAGTAATATAGAAGAAAAAGGACACATAGAGATGGGAAACACACGGGGCCTCTGGATTTGGCATGTTTTGTTGACTTTAGATTTTTTAAATATTGATGAGCAAATGGCAGCTGAGACACACTGGGTTATGAAGGGACGGCTGAACTAAACCAGTCTATGTACCTTAGGGAAATCTTAGCTTCAGAATAGAAGTCAGGACATGTGTTGGGTTGCAGGGGGAGAGGTTATAGATTTGTTTTAACAGGAAACAAAAAGTTATGGCTCTCTTTAAAATTAATGAAGACCAGATATGATTGGGGGAGACCTCCTACAATTCATAGAACATGAAGAAAGAAAACAGACATGAAGAAAGAAACCAAGAAAGACGACAGGACAGGTGACGTATATGCTGATCCCTCCAATGTGGGAACACCTCTGAGACTGGAGAAGACTGATAAATCTTGCTGGCTACAGAGTTCTCATGACTTATTATTACATGCCATCCTTTCATACGACATGAATAGAGGTTTGGTTCTACAGTCTAAACAAACTTATAAAGTTAACAGAAGACCTTTTCCTGCTAAAACATAAAACAAAAAGTCATCTTTAACTGTCTTGGGCACACTGTATATTCCATACTTGTGTTAATATACATACATGTTATCTTTAAAATGATGTGGGTTTCCCCTTTGTATACCATAAATATGTTTTATTACTCTTGGTTAATAAATTAGCTGCTTTGGCCTATGGCAAGGCAGAGTAAAGTCAGGCAGGAAACCTGAACAGAGATACAGAGAGTAGGTGGAGTAAGGGAGATGCCATGGAGCTGCTGAAGGAGATGTCAGACCCTTATAGGCAGGCCACATCCTCATGGTAATACATAGATTAATAGACATCTGGTTAATTTAAGATGTAACAGCTGCTTAGAAATATGCCTAAGCCATCGGCCAAATAGTGTTTCTATGTAATTAACATAGTTTCTATGTGATTATTCGGTCTGGGCGGCTGGGAAATGTAAGCGCAATCTTCGCTTACATTAAAAGTTTGTGTTTTCAGAAAAAAAGGACCAGACACCAATAAAGACAAGTAGCCCACGTAATCAAGTCTCTCAGAATAACTCTGCTGCTGTTTCCTCAAAGTTCTTCATCCAGAACAACTTCAAAGCTGCTGAGATGGTGCAGCCTCACAGACTATCCAGTCAAGACTTCAGATGAGCTCTATATTTTCTCATCACACAGCTAGCTCTCCCAGGACTTGGCCACCATCCTAATTCTCTCAGGGTCCCCTAAAGATGCCTTTGCACCCAGACAAGGAAGCAGAGCATAACACTTATATTCCCAAGAGGAAAGATGGGCGAGTTTTGGTCATTTGGTGGTTTATGGATGTTTGACATCATTTGGGGGGCTGGTTACAACTTGTTATTGGTAATGGTCAGAAAAAAAGCTAAAGGAAGATTAGATTCAGGGATGTCTTGCTGAAGGGAAAAGGGTGGATACAGTATAGAAGTACTGGAATAAAAGGGTGGATTGTTGAATCTACTTTTGAACAACCACTACTCTCAACTATCTTATATTGATATGGATTTTTGTATATTGATACAAATTTAAGATTATTCTTGTTATACTAAATTTATGTTTCTACTCTTGTTTAAGGTATTACACTTATGCAGCTTACTTAAAGATATAATGTAAAGTTTTAGTCCTTGAAAGCTAATTTAGGATAATAAAGACAGGTCAGTACTTAGCCATCTATAACAATCAAACTTCTAATCATGCTAGGTATGTTTTCAAGGTCAGAGGTATATTTTAAAAAGATAGATGGTTTAAAAAAGCACTTCAAAGATCTACAGAATATGGCATTTAAAATGCTTTAGTAACATAAGGTTTTTCATGACAGTGAGGCATGTCTGCTCCTGGCAGCGCCAATCTACTTCAGAAAAGGATAAAGGGCATCTCAGAACCTCCATAAAGAGTTTGATTTCAGTGTGGAAAAGCTAGCCATTTGGGCAAAATCTATCCTTGCCTCAACTGCTGACAGTATGCTGTCCAGACTGGACAAGCAGGGAACAAAAGAAAATGAGTAACAAACAAAACAAAACAAAACAAAACAGGGTAGGACAGTCCTTCAAAATTCCTGCTTCACAGAAAAGTCTGTCATAGAATCGAGTCCTGTAGGCTGAAGACGGACTCTCAAGGCTGCAGAGAAACCTCGAGTGACCAAGGCAAAGTTCTCTGCTGTTTCTATAATTTTAGAAGTTGTCCACTCTACACTTCCTGTTTACTCGGGTAATATTCTATCCTTCTTGGGTCTTTGATGGGGTTGAAGACTAGATATTTATAGTTTTACAGTTTTCCTTGTTACCAAATTCAGAAAAGAAACTTACATTATAATTATAATTATAGATATACCATTTTTTTAAGGTTGAAGACATAAAAGCTTAAGTGTTTATCAAATGATGTGCGAAGTCCTTCTTTATATGTGTTGCTTTTATTGGTTAATGAATAATAAAGCTGTTTTGGGCCTATTATAGTGCAGAAGAGGGCAAGGCAGGAATTCCAAGCAGAGAGAGAAGAGAGTAGGCGGAGACAGGGAGAAGTCATGGAACAGCTGCAGGAGAAAGCCATGCCAGACCCTTGCCAGTAAACCACGAGCCTCGTGGTAAAATATAAAATAATAGAAATGGGCCAATTTAAGATATTAGACCTAGTCAGTAACATGCTTAAGTGATTGGCCAAGCAGTGTTTTAATTAATACAGTTCTGTGTAATTATTTCGGATTTGAGCAGCCAGGAAACAAACGAGTGGCCTCTTCCAACAATCAAAACTATGTTTTAAGGTCTAAAAAGATATTTTTAGGATCATAATACAAGTTATGATAGAAAGTGGTATAGTTATAAAATTTTAGACTCACTAAGATCGAATAGATATATAGTACCCTCTACAAATCTGCCAAATACAAACGAACTGGACATTGTGAATATAATTTTTTTTAAAGACATGTTGCATTTTTTTAAAAGATTTAATTATTTATTAAATATACAGTGTTCTGTCTGCATGTATTCCTATAGGTCAGAAGAGGGCACCAGATCTCATTATGGTTGTGAGCCATCATGTGGTTGCTGGGAATTGAACTCAGGACCTCCAGGAGCACAATCAGAGCTCTTAACTGTTGAGCCATCCTTCCAACCTCATGAATATAATTCTTACCTAATAATTGTTCTTAATGTATACAGTTTTACTGTGTTAGAGTTGCAACCTTTCCTTTTTATTTAGACAAAAAGGGGGAAATGTGGGAAATTTTACACTATGTGAAGATGTGTTGCTGTGATTGTTGTAATAAAAAGCTGAATGGCCTATAGCTAGGCAGGAGGTATAGGAGGATTTCTGGGGAGAGAAAGGAAGAGGAGGAGAAATCTAGACACACAGGAGATACTGAGAGGAAACAAGAGGGTCAATATGGAAGAGGGGTAATGCCATGTGGTAGAATGTAGATTAATTTAAATGGGTTAAGTTAGAGCTAGTTAGGCCTTACTTTCATAATTATAAGAAATCTCCATGTCATTATTCGGGAGCTGGCTAGTTCCCATAGTAGATCACTACAGTGACACACTAATCAGCAAGCATCTGTGCCTGCTATGATGGCAGACTGGGTACATCTGCTTCTGACATGCTAAGCAATGCACAGAACTGTTCTGTGACTTACTTCCTTGCCCACAGAACGGGATAAGAATATTGCCTCCTCTTTGGGACAGATTAGTAGCACAGTATCATGTGAAACATTTTTTTTTAAACACACACACAAAGTCAAGGAGTGTTATCTCTGAAGTCTGGGTTTCAAAATCTCCAAATCCGTTCCAGGGAGGGGTGGATAGATGACTAGTTTCAGTGTTAAATTATCTGCCTGAACATTGGTCCCTACTATTCTATCTCTAATAATTCCCACCCCTTCTGTGAATACTACTACAAATTCTAATCATAAACAAACAAAGAGAACAACAGATTGGTAGTGGCAAGATCCTAGTCTAAATCTAAGTGAGCAACAGTGCCAGTGGGAGCCTGTAGCTTTCAGCCCAGCCTTTGTTGGGAGCTGGCCTGACCTTGGGACGATCTTCCTTTCTCAGAGCCACAGCTTCCAGTTTGGCTTCGTACTCAGCCTGAACTTGGTCCCTCTTCTTCAATACATTCTGTGGAAGGTAGAGAGAAACATGTTAACAGTCTGCAAAGGGCTCTCCAACTCCCAACCCAGGACAGGGATTGTGCTCCAAAAGCCGCATATAACACCAGTTTCTGAGGAAAGGAGGAGGGAAGGAAGGAGAACCAATCCTGGGGATGGGGCTCTCCAGGGAAGAACACCAGATGTTGACAGCAACAGATCTGGGAAGAGCAGGTGGGGAACACGTGCACCCATCGCCACACTGCCCAGAGGCCTGAGCCTCACTGTGTACCGAGAACATTGGCAGACACTGAGCTCTAGGCTTAGATGCAGGGCAGTCTCTGGGTTCAGTGGGAAAAGAACAGTCAAAATAGTTCTTAATTGTTGTAAGGAGCCGCCAGGATGTTGCCTTGGCGAGATAGTGCCAGCGGTCCTACAGCCTGGAGGTATACAAATCCTTTGACGCTGCCTCGCAGGCCATAGTGCTTGGGGCCTTGTTTTGCATTTCAGAGCCTTGGTCCTGTGGCCTTGGGCCCTAGCAGAATGGCATCAACCAATCAGCATTCGAGCCTCTCACCCTAGAAAAGGGGCTGCCTTTGGGTTTTTCCCTCTCTCTCTCTCTCTCTCTCTCTCTCTCTCTCTCTCTCTCTGTCTTTTCTCTCTTTTCCCTTCCCCCAATTTTCCTCAACCGAGGGCTTCGAATAAAGGTGTGATATGGGAAGGAATCTCGATTTCGTGGTCGCTTCTGCTTGCTGGACAAGGGATGCGTCTCACAAATTGTAATTATTAATTTATATAATTGACAAAAATCATACATATTCATTTATTGTGTATGAATTGCTCCAAAGTACATGCATATTATGATGAGGTTAAGCTGAGCTAATTAACAGACATTACCTCATGCTCATTTTCTGTGGTGAAAGCATTTAAATGTGTTCCCAGCTCTTTTCAGGAGCACTAATCAGCTACTGTCTCTCCACGATAGAATGATTATAGCAGAGCTCTTGATGCCTTAGTCTGCTGGGTTGCCCCCTGCTGGACTGCTCTGCCCACTGTTCCATTAGCCACCTGTTTATTCTCTATTCTGGGTCAGGTACAGGATGCAGAGCCTCAGTTCTCTGAGGGTTCAATCTGGAAAAGGTCCTGATGTATACAAGGCTGGATGTACAAGAGTTCTGTGTGACAGGTCTGAGTCCCTGGATGAGCAGCAAATGGGCTCAGTGACAGTCAACGTGGGAGGAACAGAGGCGAGGCAAGGCAGGTGCTCATGAGAAAAGTGTAAGGGTGTGTTGTTCTTCAGTCCACACTAACAAGTAGTACCTGACACTGAATAACACCTTGAGACTCTGCCCCGAGCTCACTTCCCTTCCTCCAATCTTAGCCTTACAGTGCCAGACACAAGAGCTTGTAGTAAAAAAAAAAAAAGCACATCTCAGTTCTTCCCCTCAACTTTCTTCTGGTACATTAAAAACTGGCAAACCAGGTATGGTAAGAGCCTTTTTACTCACTGACTCAGAAACAAGTTACAAAGACAATTTCTAACCACAGATTCTACACAGGCACCTTCTATCACAGCCTGGAGTCAGGGCAGGAAGAACCCATCCTGGACTAAGTGTTAGGCACTTGATACCCCTGGGGATGTGTCTAAAGTTCCGAGTAACTAAATGCCTGAAGGTTCTCTACAGCCCATTTTCTAGAGGGAAACATCCACACTGGGAGCCCTAAGTCTCCTACTGACTGAAGAATTTACTTTGAAGAACATGTCCTCTGCAATCATTCGTCCCCCAGGTGGGCTGGTCGTCTTTCTCCTAAGGGCTCTGATGTTCACTCCCCACACTCACGAATGTCTCCAGTGGAGCCTTCTGTTGTGACGGGAATGTTCTTTAACATCTGCCTATGGAGTGTTTGACATGACATGTGGCTCACGTGACTGAAGAAACGAATTTGTGTGTGTGTGTGTGTGTGTGTGTGTGTGTGTGTGTGAGAGAGAGAGAGAGAGAGAGAGAGAGAGAGAGAGAGAGAGAGAGAG